GTTGTCCCCTGCTACTGGCGGAGGAAGCGGGGAAAGGACCCCCCAAGAGGTTTGTCCCTGGGGTCGGTGCGGTAGCTCACGGGACAGGCAGCCGTGGGGTTTTGGCTGTGCGGCCCCTGCCCTCCTCCTGGCTGCTGTCATGCTCCTAACGCTCTCCGTGCTGTTCCTGGGGTTCTCCCTCCTCCTGGGGCTGATGCGGGATAAGCCACCGGGCACTGTCACCCCCCTGCCACGTGCTGCACAGGGCAACATCCCTGTCTTCACCCACCCCTGCTGATGCAGGGTGGTCCAGGTTGATGAGATAGATGAAGCATCTCAACAGCCCAAGCATTGGTGTCCAAACCTGGAGGCCTCGTCCCATGGGGTCTAGAGGATATTCTGAGCTGGAGCATCCCTCCCCAGCCCCTGCCAGGTGCCAAGCAAGTAAAACCTCCAAGTTGCCAAGGGACCTCTTTCTCCCTCTGCTTTGCTTTGCTTTGTTTTGCTTTGCTTTGCTTGAGGGCTGAACCCCCCCCCCAGTCTGGGGGCTCTAACACGTCAGGCGTCTTACCCCGCACCAAACTCCCCCAGGACATGTCGAGGAGACGCTGACCGTCTACGAGGATGTGGGCAAAGCCCAAACCAGCCGAGACGCTGTGAGTGCCGTCCCTGGGCGTCCCCTCCCTGCGCTGCTTGGAGGGACGGGACCTCTGTTTGGAAATGTCTGTCACCCCAGGTTGCATCCTTTAACCAGCCTGGGGTCGCTTTCTCCCCCAGAATAGGACCAGTGAGGCCACCGTGGGAGGAAACACCATCTACGCTGTCATCTGCACCAACACGAAGGTAGGGTCAGTCCTGTTCAGGTGAGGGGGACTGGAGCTGCTCCCTGGGCTTTGCTGTGCAGTCCCTGGGCTGGATGTGTCCATGGCAGCTGCCAAGACCACCCCTTTTGCCCAAAATTTGTTTTTCTTTGTGCATCTCGACCGTTTTTTTTTCCCTGGCAGGCACCCAGCTGCGCTCAGGAGCCCAAAAGCTGCACCATCTACTCCACGGTTCAGCCCACCAGGAAGGTGAGGTTGCCCCGCCGTGATCCCGGCCCCTCTGCAGCGGCACAGAAACCGGGGTCCCCTCGGTTCGTCAACCGGGTGCTGGGTTCACTGTCCCGCTCATGCCTAATGGCAGGTTCTCGCTCTGCTCCACAGCCTCCTTCTCTCAAGAAGAGGAGGCTGGACCCAGCTTTGGTTTCCACTGCCTACGCAGAGGTAACGGGCACCGGACCGGTGGGGAGATGAGCCCTGGGTATCTCCAAAGCTCATCAGCTTTTTGGGGCCGTGGTGTGATAACCCTCACCCATTTCTCTGTAGGCTACAGGGGGGGTCTAGGCACTGGTGCCCCCCGTTGCAGATCTCGCCCCCAGCTCCTGCTGGCCACCACCTCTCCTAGTGCCTCGGCTGCCTCAGCAAGACCTTCCCTTCCCTATGGGCCTCTTCTCCCGGAGCACCCAGAGCACCTCCAGCACCCACCAGGACCCCACCTGGCAAAGCCAGGGTCTCACTCGGGACGGAAACAGTCAGACATGGGTTTCTGCAAGGATGCAAACCCCAGCTGCACCTTGGAGGCTTTCCTGTGAGGGAAGGAGGAAAGAGTCGGTGATGGAAACCTGTCTTGAGGAGATGGATGTGAAATTGGACAGGCGGGGTCGTGGGGGAAGAGGATCCATGTGATGTGCGTGTGTTTAGTGCCAGCGTGTGATCTTGTGGGTTTTTTTAGGTCTTGACAGGTTCGATACACCTCGGGAATTTATTTGTAGGTGCGAATATAAGCTGAACTGCATGAGGCAATTGTGGTGCTTGTTTAATTAGCTTAATTGGCTATTTATAGCCTGAAACGTACCTTGGGCACAGGCAGGGAGTGGGAATTGCCTTATTTGTGGCTCGGGAACCTCTGAAGCAAATGGGGTCTCATGCGGAGATGCACTTTGCAAAGTTTCAGCCGTGTGTGTCAGGTAGGGGAGAGGTGGCCACGGGCATCGGCTC